AAAAGGTGCATTGGGTAGGGGGTGGGCCACCCCACAAGTCCACCTCCACCCAGAGGTTGTCACACCAATTGCACCCTTGAGCAGGTTGCCCTAGATGTTCTTTCCTTCCCTGGTGGGGGAGACAGCTCGGCATCAACTGCCCTGAGGCTGCTCCGTGTCTCTGGTTTGGGCCCTCTGCCTCTTGGAGTTTGGGCCTCTCCCTTTTGGGTTTCTACATTCTGATCTTTCTTTAGCTTCTCTGCCTCTATCACAGAGATTCCTTCCCCTGGGTGGTCCCGTTCTGGAACACTTGTTCCTTCATCAGTTCCTCTTTTAGGGTCCCTATCCTGGCTGTGTTGTCTAGCGTTTGTATCTTTCTCCCCTTGAGGTTGTGGGGACTCCCTCTTCTCAGGGTCTCAGGCCTTGCCCCCACCCTCCAGGGTCCTCCCTCTTGCTTTCTCTGTTGGTCTCTTCCCCATACCCTCTCTCTCCCTTTTTAGGAAGGGTTCCAGTCCAACCCGAGGACCACGGGGTAGGGCAACCCCTTTATTACCCCCACCCGCTTCCAGGCAAACCTTCCCTGCACCTCCAGGGATACCTGGGCCACGGGACAATACTCCCCATCCCCGTGGATGTGTTCCACCAGCATCCTTTCTCCAGGGATAAGCCAATGCGGCTTTACCAAGCGCTGCTGTATGAGGGAGCGGGCTGAGGCTGTATCCAGACTAGACCTCTCTGGGACTTTCTCCCCACCCACACGGGGATGGTGGCTATTCCACGCCGCTTCTTCGGCCCCCCAACCTTGGTCCAACTACAGAATTCAGCAACCCCACAGTCCATCACTGGGCAGTCATGGCTCTTATGCCCCAGCTGTCCACAGCACCAGCATAAAATCCGTCCCGGATGGCTAGGGGTTCCCTTGTGCTCCTCCCGTTGCTTGTCTGCCAGCTTCCCAGCGGGGTGCTCATGGTGTTTCTTGCCTCCCTCTGTATCTCACAGGGTCCAGTGCTCCCTCACGGGGAAGTCTGCCTCTGCATATTCCTCTGTCCTTTTGGCAGCGGCTTTTATAGTGCCAGGCTGATGTCGCCGCACCCAGACCCGCATGGTATCGGGGAGGCACTGCACAAACTGTTTGAGGATCCCCTGATCCATAATCTGCCCCACTGTTTGGGCATTGGGCCTCAACCACCACGTCGCCCAGTCCGTCAATCTCTGGACGAAGGCCTGGGGCTGCACACCCCCTGCCCACTGGGCTGCCCGAAACTTTTGCCGGTATTTCCCTGATGAAAGCCCCAGGCAGTCCAAGATGGCTGCCTTCACTGTGTCATAGTCCCTAGCCTGGGCATCCGTCAGGGCCATGTATGCCACTTACACCTCCCCAGCAAGATATGGGGCTAGCTGCAGAGCCCAGGTTACCTGGTCCCATCCCATGCCCAGGGCCACCCACTCAAAGGTACCCAAAAAGGCATCAGGGTCATCCATCGGGGCCATCTTACAGAGACTAAGGCCCAGGGGCCAGGTGCTATCTCCCCCCGCAGGACTTACCAGCCTCTGCAGGAGCTGCTGCTGCACTGTCTCCTGATCTTTGATAAAGTCCTGCAAAGTCCATTGTTGCTTGGCCTGCCAAGCTAGTAAAGCTTGCCTCTCCAGCTGGTGGGACTGCTGAAAGGCCTGCAGTGTCTTTTGTGTCTCCCCGTGTTGCTCCATGAGCCACTGCAGAGTGCCCTCCATCTCTGGGTCGCCAAACTGTGTCACTGGCAATGTATCCCGGACAAGCCCCCACATGTAACAGGGTTCACAACCCACCCCTCTTCCAGGGGCCTGCTTGCTGCCCCCAATAAGGCTCAGAGAGGCTTCAGGGTTGTGCAACACCCATGCCTTTATTTACTTAAAGTTATCCCACCACCAGTGTCTATATACAAGCTTGACAGGATTAGTCACCTCCTTTACAGGCAGAGTCAGCCTTCAGCTAGGAGACCTCCAGTTTCCTCCCTGACTGACTGACTGACTTCTTCCTGGCTGCCCCCCAGCCTTCTGGCTCCCTCCCTCCCTGTCAGGCCAGGAGCAACAGGCCTTTTCCATCAATTGGCTTCCCCTGATTGGAGCTGACTGGGCAGGGGCTAATTAGGTGGTTTTGCACCAGCACCCTGCTACACCTGGTAACTAGCTAAGTGATAAAAATACACCTACGTTCTTAAAGTATAGGCCTTAACAGGCAGGCCTGAATATCTATATTCTAATACCCACCCTGCTCCACCAGCCTCCACTTACCTGGGGAACCTCAGTGCCAAGATATCAAGATTATATAATGCTCTTTACTATTAGGATCTTGGATACTATGATGATAAGGGACATATAAATACTGGAATAAAGTCGCTATTACAATTTACATCACAAGTCCAAAGTTCATGAAGTGGCTTATGTAATAGAAAGATTAGTATCAGTACTATTACAAATTGTGAAGTGTTTGTGGGAGCCAGGTTCATTCACTAGTGGAATCCTATTTGCTGAAACTTTTTTGTTATATTAATTCTGTTGAAGGAATTCCTTTTTTACAAAAAATAATATTTACCTCCCTTTCAAGTTACAGTGGGTGTAATTAAAGTTTCCATTGTCCTTCACAGGAAGGTAAATTATTGCCTGTTTGAGTATGTATTCCCTATACTTATGAAAGGGACTACCATTAAATTCAGTAATATCTTATCTAATAGTAGAAGGGTTTTACAAATTACTTGCAAGTCTCCACCCTTTTTTCTAGAATGGATTCTTTATCGTGGATTCAACCAGGCAGGAATTTCCTCCTTCATAGTATATTATCTGAAAAAGACAGAATCATAGAAATATAGGGCTGGAAGGAACCTTGAGAGGTCAACTAGTCCATCCCACTATGCTGAGGCAGGACCAAATATAAATGGTTTTTTTCCCATTTTATTCATACTTCAAACATGCCCACTCATTTCCCAGTCTCTCCTCCTCATTAGCAATTTTATTGAAATTTGGTCATAGGAGCAGCAGGGTGATACAGATGTCTGGATATCTTTCTTTCTTTCTTTCTTTCTTCTTCCTCCACCCCAATCCCTCAGAACTGTACATGTTTGTGTTACACTTTGTATCAAAATAAAGGGAGCCTACCTCTGCTCCTTTTAGTGGTATCACTCTGTTCATATTCTAGGAATGGCAGTCAAACTCTGTAAAACGGACACATCCCAGTTAGTTGCTTTTTATTTATTTATTCACTTTTTAGTTTTTCTATACTGTGCATCTTACAATGCTAAGTCACCTCTCAAAACACTGTGTCAGATTCAGCAAGGTGGATGTGGAGTGTGTGCACATGCACTTTACATGCTTCTACACCAGCTAAACCCATGAAGATTAAACGGGGGTTGGCCAGCCGACCAATTGACCACTCAGTTGATTGCCTATTATTTGACAACAGTCAAATATTCCAGCAACAATTCCCTGATGTAGGTGGCAGCCTATTTTTTGATTGGCTCATGGTGACATTCTTTCATTTTTTTAGCACTTCATTTGCTTGTGTTTCACATTTTTCTGAGTTATTTTAACTCAGTTAAGTAACTTGGTTTTTCTGACTGAGCATAAGTACCTATCTGAGGATAAGCCTTTATGGAGACAATATAGCCTTACTCTTTTTTTCTTACTGTTCTAATAAATTAGTGCTTTAATATATCTGACCATTTTTGACATTATTTGACTCATCAATTGACCAGTTATTTTTGGATCAAATACCCAACCTTACATTAATGATATTTCTGCCTCCACCCTCTCAGGGTATGCCTACACTGCTCTGTAAACACAGGCTCAGGCTCAGGTTGGAGCCCAGACCCTCCCCCTCCCTCCCCCCAAAAATCTGACTTGGGTCAGCAAGCACTCAGGACTGGGTCATAGGACCAACCTGGGTCCTGCTGAAATTCAGGTCCAAACCCTGTTATTTTGCAGTGTGGACACAGCTCAACCTAGTCCTGAGTCAGAAGGTTTGCATAGTTCAGTATGGATGTATTATCATGGTTGTGTGACTCGATTCTAGCAATTGTAAACCCAGGTTTACAATGCAGTGTGAGTGCTCAAGTGTGGGTTTCAACACACAGAGTCCACAACTGTGGGTCCCACAGAGCTGTGTTTAGAGTGTAGTGTTGACATTCCCTAAGGAGTTGACATTCCCTAGTGACCCTAAGGGGTCAGCTATAATGAGAAAAGTCCAAAGATAACAAGAAAATACAGCCCAGGTGGAATTGTGGGATAGCACTGGAGAACTAGCAGTGCCTGGGCTTGATTAGGGTGCATTCTCCCTGCAAAGTGTGGGTTGCCAGCCCAGGCTAAAGCAAACATCACCTCAAGCCTCTACCTTCATCTGTGCCTGCTAGTTTGAGCGTCAGGCACCCTCAAGCCCAGGTTAGAGGTCTTTCCATGTGAATGGAGAAAGGTTTAGGGGCTATACCCTGGCTAGGCTCAGCTAATTCTGGTAAAAACATGCCTTTTAAGGGCTTGCCTTCACTGCAGGGTTAATCCAAAGTATTGCTCCTAGCTTGAGTCCTGCTCCCTCCCCACACATCCTTCACTCAAATGTGATGGTGTTTTTAACTCAAGTTGGTTGGCCTGTGGAGGGATGTGGGCTGCAGCTGACAAGTTGTGCTGACTTGAGCTGTTATTTTGCAGTGTCACAAGGGTAACTTGAGTGAAGGCATTGCATAAGATTCAGGGTGACACATGTGAAGCCATGCTAGCTGGCTGTGTTGTAACTTAGGCTGACTCCTTGCTACAAAATAGCCAGCTAACACTGCTTCAGCCTTGTCAGTCTGTGTCTTAACATGATTGAAAAGCCATCTTAATACTTAAATCGATTAAGCTAAGAAAATGGAAAAAATTGTACCCTTTCCCTTTCAATACATAGTCTGAAGGTATTCTTGGCTAATTACTTAAAAATAGAAAACCATAAATGTGAGTTTTGTGTAACAGAGGGCTTTTTTTGTTTTCAAAGCGTGAAACAAATGTCTTTTTTGCAGATACACTTGTAAACGGGACCATGGAAATACGTGAGTAAAATATTTCATTAACATTGGTTAAATGTCTTCTAAATGTGGATCACTTACAGGAGTCTAAACTAAACAGCTAAATTAGTGATATATATTGCTACAGTGGTAGTGGGAGGGCTTCTTAGAATAAATGCGCTTCAACACAGATGTTTAAATCGCTCTTAACATCCTTATGACATGTCGCCACATGTCAACTACATTGATCAGTATAAGTAGTTACCAGGCCTAAATTATCAGGATGAGCTAATAGGGATTTAAATGCAGATAATTGGTCCCTTGTGAGTGAAATGATGCAACGCAGGAGCAGGAACTATTTAAAAAAAATCTCAAGGATCTTGAACCTGTAAAGCTGTTTGTTAATTAAGTGAGAAAAAATTATACCAAAATTAATTAGGAGAATCATTTAATTCTCCTTCTCTATGGAGGAGAATGTTGACTTGTGTTCACAAGTAATTATTTGAATTAGAATGGTACCAAGAACTTTCTATTTTGAGTATTACAAGAGAAATAGAAAAGGAAGGTGCTGGTATGGAGTAAGCATGAACTAACCTCCTAATTAGATACAGTTTACAGTACCTGTTTACTTTCAGCACTTTTGGGATTTGAATGCATCTAAATTGTTCTGATTCTTTCATAATGTAAAATTTCCCATTAGCGTTTTTTAAAACAAGCCTTCTGTTTTTAAGGGCATTTCATATTGTTTAAATACAGCAAACTTGTCATAATGTCTAATTTTCATATAGATCTTATCTACAATGAAATAAGTTCATTTTATAGATTTGTTTTTTAATTTGACAAAACAAAAAAAATGAATATTTGTTTCTTTCTTCCAGCAAATAAAGCTGCTGAATTTCCAAATCCCACTTACCCTCCAACTTATGCAGGAAATCAAGTTCCTCATGGATATCCTCAGTACGCACCTCAAATTTTCCAAAGTAAGTTATTTGATTATGATATGACGTACAAATTAACTGATCTGTTTTGTCCCCAGAAAAAATAGTTTGGGTTCCAAAATGGCAGCCATCTGTGAACTAATTCCCCTGCTATTAATTTTCCAGGATGAAATCTTTAGACTTTTTCTTGTAGGAAAGATTGGTTGTTCTTTCGTTTATTTGGTATTACTGTGGTAACATGCTACCTATATAGGAAAATTAAATAGTCAGAAAATCTCCTGTCTGCAGGAAAACCCTGTAAGGGCGAAGGCAGGGAGGCTGGTGCAGTTGCAGAAGTAGCTCATGCATGGCAGCTCTTTGCTTTTGAACTCTACATCTCAGTCAATAGTGTCTTTTAAAATAAAAATATTTTACTAATTTTTTCTAGCAATTTAGAACTGGAGTTAAAACTGGAGAAGGTATAGTCTCCATCTCTGTACTGTTTCTGTCTTACCTGCCTCCTATCTGAATACCCTCATGATTTTTCCCACTTTGTTGCCCCTTCTTCCACACTGTCACAAAAACTTAAAACTTGTTATCTCTCCCTCTTTGCTGAGTGACCTTCCTCTCTACATTCAAGCCTTTCCTCCAGAACACACCACTTCAAATAACCCTTTAAGTAATAATTTGCTGAAATATGAATGTTTGACATTTTTATTTAGCTTTTTTAAATGTAAGAAAGCCTCTGACTTGAACGTTCACACTCAGTGATATCGTGTATGTCTTAAGTATTGAGTTATATTTGTCCTGTATTGACCTTTCTTGCTTGTCTTTTGGATTTTATGCACTTTGTGGCAGAGCAACTGTACTCTCGCATTCTGTTAACACTGTCAGTACTTGGCAATAATGATTATGCATTGTGGAGACTGAAAAAAGTTTGTTCTTTTTAGAACGAGAAAGATTAAATTCTGAGCTCAAAGTAGTTTGCACTTTCACTGTTTGAGCCTGATATTAAGTACAAACACACATTGTCATAGTCACACTAGCTAAGAATCTTCTCTGTAGACTGTAATTATTTGCTATTTGCTGTAGTGTAATCCAGTTTCACTGGAAAAGATGCCCTTTTCAAATCCTATAAAAAGCTGTGCAAAACATTTGGGTGGACCAGCCATTACTAAGGCTGTGTTTGTGGTAATATCTCTTGCAAATGTTAGAGTGCGTGAATAACTGCATGAACATTCTTTATAGTTTCAGTATAATGCTTGCTTCATTGTAGAGGAGGAAGCTTAAACTTTTTACTTTCTGTAGGTGGAGAAACTTGTACCAGCTTGATGTTGAATTCATGCTAAATTTGAATCTTCTTTAGTTCTTACATATAACTTCCATGAACATTGTACACATTTGTTCAATTTTAATCTTTATAAATAAATTTTATATACTACCAGCACTGCTATAGATAACACATTCCTCTGGTAGTGTAGAATTTATATTACAGATACAGAGAGATCTTAGGTTTCAGAGTAGCAGCCGTGTTAGTCTGTATCCGCAAAAAGAAAAGGAGGACTTGTGGCACCTTAGAGACTAACCAATTTATTTGAGCATAAGCTTTCGTGAGCTACAGCTCACTTCATCGGATGCATTCACTCTGTATTTTCCACTGAATGCATCCGATGAAGTGAGCTGTAGCTCACGAAAGCTTATGCTCAAATAAATTGGTTAGTCTCTAAGGTGCCACAAGTCCTCCTTTTTTTTTTAGAGAGAGATCTTAATCCATGAACATAAATATATACTGTGTGCGCCATCTAGTGGGTGTATCACAATGTTAAGTGTTAAACAGCATGACTTGAATCTAATTTTATACTGAGTTCTGTGTGGGCAAATAAAGTAAATGGGAGATAGTTCATTTAATATAGCTAAAATCAATATGCAGTTATTTAATTATTTCTGTGTATGAATTAACAGTATGACAAACTTCTTGACACTCTTTATTTAGACAAAATTAATTAAATATATATATAGAGTATAGTACGTGCTTGAAAGCTGCAGACTGATTTTTCTAGAGACACACTATCTCTAAAATAAGTGGAAAATAAGTAACTATAGAAAATCTTTTTCTAAATGTTCTCAAATTGCTATTCACAACATGGCAGTCTTACAGTCATTTATCAAATACCTCTCCATGTTCAAATATACTCTATTTTCATTTGCTGTATATTACTTTTAAATTGTAATGATGAGATCAAATGAGCAGCTTCATTTTTATTACATTTAATTTGTAGATTATTTATAGATATCTTACTATATGAAATTTGTATATGTGGGAGAGGGGTTTCTTTTCATATTAGTGTGAAGGGTGTAAAATATCTGGTTCCAGATATTTTGTCTTATTATAATAAAAATATCTAGCTCTTGTGTAGCACTTTACATCAGTAGATGTCAAACTGTTTTACAAAGAAAGTCAGTATCATCCCCATTTTACTGATGGGGAACCTAAAGCACAGGGAGGTGAAGTGACTTGCCTAAGGTCACCCAGGCAGGCCAGTGGCAGAGCTGGGAATAGAAGCTAGGTCTGTTGAGTCCCTGTCAGTGTTCTATCCTCTGGTGGCTTCCCTGTAAGTCCTGTTTACTCTATGACCTTGTCTACACGTAAGTTATATTGCTTTAAGTATACCAATATAGTTGAAGCCATACAATGACTCTCTTGTACAGATGTAGTTATACCGATACAGGTTGTTGCTGTGCTGGAAGACAGGGAGAGAGAGAATCAGCTTTTTAGAAAGGAGAGAGAATAGTGACCTGTCTATGCTGCAAACAGCCAGAAGGAAGATAGGGAGAGGGGAGCTACTATGTCAGTCAAAGAGCCACAAAAAAATAGTTAAGCAGTGTCTTTGACATTACTGTGAAGTTTGAGCCCTGGAGTTGCAGTGGTAAATAATGACCTGTTGATGTGATTCATTATCATGATGTGAAAGTTACAACAGAGTGACGGCATCAGTTTGCAGCTTTGTGATTCCTGGCTACTCACTTTGCTGTTGTAGTGGCTCTCCAGCTTTCAGAGTTTGAGGATCACTGAACTGAATTATGGGTGAGCTTGGAAGTATTAGATTTTTATTATTAAACATCAGTTTTACCCTATGCACACAAACTGATGACAAAATATTTCCATCTATAATAATAGAAATGCGCAGATAGGCAGAATAAGAAAAATGCTCCTTGAGAACTTATTGGAGTTTGATTTAAGGATGTTTACTCTGTATATTTTGACATGAGTTTTTCAATTTATGTTTTAATGGTTATAAAGCTTTAACTTTTGAATCTCAACAACTATTGTCATTTAAGTAAGTGTCTAACCTCCCCATAACTTCCCACAACTGCCAAAAATTTAAATAGATAAAAATAAAAAAAGCTTACAACCCATAATTTTGCACAACTGTGAAAATGTAAATTATTAATAATTTAAAAATGCTTAAAATAAATGTCAGTATTGTTGAAATTATAAAATAAGTTGATTTCTGCCAAGCCTAATTATCTAATGTAGTTTCAGTATGAAACTCTCAATAGTTAAAAATGCTAGAACTTCAGAAGTGTATTTGTTGGTGTGTTGAAACTATGTTTTTAATATCTGATTTTTCAGAATTGTGTGTGTTTTGTTTATCTTCCCACAAACTAGATGCTCCAGAACAAGCTAATTATGCCTTCCAGGGTTACCCAGCAGGAGCTCCATATGGACCTGGGGTCCCTCCAGTCCAAAATCAGCCTTCTGGGACCAGTGGGGCAGCTTGGATGCCAGCACCTCCTCCCACTCTCAACTGTTCACCCGGATTAGAATACCTAAGTCAGGTACCTATATTCTTCTCCGTTTTAAACTCCCATGAAAATACAAAACTAATAGATACCTGTGCATTTAAGTACCTTTTTATCTACTTTGGGAAATCAAGTGGCTTACATGATTGGTATTGGGGATACAGAGCCATTTACATTTAGGTCAGAGGTTAAAAATCTATCTCAGGACCATCATAATTGAAGCATATTACCATTTTATGGCTGCTCAGTGGCCCATTTGGAAAAAGTACTGTCAGTCCCAGTTTTACAGAGGCAAGGTGGCTGAGATAATATCTTTTATTGGACCGACTTCTGTTGGGGAGAGAGACAAGCGTTACCTCACCCACCTTGTCTCTCTAATATCCTGGGACCAACATGGCTGCAACAACACTGCATAGTTCCAGTTTTAGCAGACAAGTGTCCACCATTAATTGACACCCAATTTGGCAATTTTAGCCAAGAATTTAAGATTAAATGAGAATGGGTATTGTTCTATTGTACATTGTTGTATCAGAAATAGTGACCCTAGGTAAGGGTAGTATGGTGTGGCAAAAGCTTATATGACCGTATGGTCATCAGTAGCACATCAGACGTCTTGACTTTCAATGTGTTACTCTTTCTGAGCACTAGTATTCATTCCCTTTCTCCACCTCCAAGTATATTCAATTAGATGTAGTGCACAACAGAGCAGCTCGCAAAATTGGAATGTTAGTGTTTGAATGATCTCTTTGATCATCTATGTGTGTGAGAGAGAGACCATTTCTAAAGCACAATTAATGTAGATGATCTAATGTTAAAATTATGAATTGATCCATAATTTTGTGTCCTGAAATCTAATTTTTGAAAAATAAAAACTGACATACCTGTAGATTTTATTTTTGAAATTTAATTATAACTTTTATTTATTAGCTTCTGTTCTAAACTATTTTTTACCACTGTAACAGATTGACCAGATATTAGTTCATCAGCAGATTGAGCTTCTGGAAGGTGTGTACCTTGCTATACTGCTAAATGGAAGATCATTATGCTGGAGATATTTTAAATGACTTTGGTCCTATATCAAGTAATTATACATGACTGTTAAACACCAGTCTTATTTAATGATAGAAATTCTTCATTTATTCATTGCCTTTTAAAGATGGGGTCTTTATTGATTTGTTTTTTGTCTTTTATATCTTTAATCAATTCTCTACCATAGTACATTTTGGAGAGGCGAGAGGGGGTGACACTGATTCTTAAAATATTGGTTACTTTCAGTATCTCAAACTTGAAATATAAAAAAGTTCACATAAATTATATTTCAATTTGTATTTTTTTTAAAAGTGACAATTTCTAATTTAAAAGTATAATCTTTACATCTAATCTCACTCATTCATGTGATTTTCAAACTGTCATTTTTACAGATCTCCTTTGCTACATCTGACCTGTCTAATTCAATCTAATCCTATATCTCGGCCTATCTCTCTGACATCTCCTCCTGGAAGTCTTGCTGCTAGCTAACTGATCTTTTCTCCCAAATCCCTTCCACTCTGCTTGTTCTTTGCCATGTTTGGCAACGTCATGATCCTGATGTTACTCAGGCCCTTAATATTGATGATGTTGTTGACACCTTCTCTCTTACCCTCTACAACTAGGCTACACCCAAATCTTGCTGCTTTTTCATCCCATAACATTTCTAAGATCCATCTGTTGTTTTTTGTTCAGGTCCTCATCATTTCCTATCTCAATTATGGTAACCACCTACTCATTGGCTTCCCTTCCACGCACGTTTTCCCCCTCCAGTCCATTCAAAACACATCTGCTAAAATGATCTTGCTGGTTTACACCTCTGACAGTATTGTGCTACTTTCCAGATCCCTCCGCTGGCTCCAGCTGTTTCACATCAACTTAAAGCTTCTTTTTCTTATTGTCAGGGTCCTTCACAACTCTACCCCTCCCTAGCTGTCTACTTTTGTTTTTTACTTTTTTGCATTCCTCCCCACTGCCACATCCACTGTGACAGTGGTGCATGTTTTGTCTGCTCATTTGTCACTTCTCACACAAACACCTCTGTTGCATCTCACCTGTGGAACGCCCTTTCTGAACTGATCATAAGGCCTTCTCCATCCTGAGATACCGTAAGTCTCAGCTGTGCCATAATATCTAAAAGAACTCACCATTCACATTAATTAGTTTTGAAGGGCAAATGGGAAAAGTTAGCAACTTATTCATAATGAAAAAATAATACAATAAAATAATACATTGCAAATATGTATGTATCTCTTCTATGATTCCCCCCCCCCCCCAATATGTTAGTAACCTTATTAGATTGTAAGATCTTCAGGGAAAGGGACATGTTTTCCTATGTGTTTATGTAGGGATTAGTACAGTGGGTTCCTGACCCTGATTGGGGCCTCTGCTATTTCTATTAATATTTTTATTTAGTGTATCAACTGAATACCTTTTTAATGTTGTTAATTTTCAGTTCTTACTGGTTTTGAAACTAACAACAAATATGAAATCAAAAACAGCTTGGGGCAAAGAGTATATTTTGCAGCAGAGGAAAATGACTGTTGTACTCGAAATTGTTGTGGACCATCACGATCTTTCACCATTAGGATCATTGACAATATGGGTCAAGAAGTGATAACACTGCAGAGACCTCTCAGATGCTCTGCATGTTGTTGTCCTTGCTGCTTGCAAGAGGTGAGATATTCCTTTCTCTTTCCTGCACCTTTAAAAGTTTTCAGAGATTTTCTTTTGTGTCAAGAGGTCAGGTGGGACAAGGTTAACTTCATCTGTAATTTTGTGGGGATCTGTGATTTTTTTGTTTTTTGTTCTTTGAGGGTTTTTGAAAATTTCTTTCATGATTTTTGTCTCCTGTTTGATGGAATTTCTTGACATTTTGCTATGGGCTTAATGCTTGTATCCTTCCTTTCAGGAAGTGACATAAATTCCTCAAGACAACAGTGGCTTCCCTGAAAAGTGGGTGTTCAATACTTTTTTAGGACTGGACCCTAATGAGGAACCAACTTAATTCAAAATTTTGATTATTATATTTAGCTTATTAAAGAATAAGAATAAGAATATTAAAGAATTTAGCTTTCTGAATATTGATAAGTAAAGGAGGAGAAAAAGGTACCAGGTTCATAAACTTTTGACCTGACCCTCATTGTAGGAATCTGATACTACTAATTGAATGATGTATAGTTGTTGCCTGATCCTTTTTAATGATTAATAACAATTGTATTGATTGCCAATTGATACTGATTTAATGAGCTGGAGATAATAGGGTTCTCATCCCAGAATTAGGCTCCACAGAATTAAAACTAACAAGTTCAGTATCTTGTAGGGAACCCCAGGATGTATGGCAAAGCACACTGAAGGCAAAGCAAAGCCTTAGCCACTTTTATTAAAACAATCCGTAAAGACAAAGCTCCAAACCACATACACTAGTAGTAGTAACACATTATTAGGGATATCTTTGGTATCATTCCCTGCATTTGCTCATGTACATCCTTCGTACATATTCTCATCCTTCCTTGGGAACCTTGTGGTGAGAGACAAAGGATCAGCCCTGTCCCTGGCATGCCAAATGAATCTGATGGTCCAGAACCCCAAAGGTTGGTGACTGACCCTTCAGCTCTTCGCTGTTATCGGTGATGGAAAGCTTACCCCAGCTACATGGTGGCTTAGTTATTATATCGTCTGGGCACTATCATGAATATTCATTCAGATGCCCAGTCTTCCATGTCCAAATCTAACTTCCTTACCCTCCTAATATTGGGGTGCCCTTATCATATAGGTTAACATATTAATGCCTTCTAACTCATTATCATATATGTCACCTATTGCTAAAGCAGGTTTGTGGTTAAACATCTGCCAATGATTCTATCCTAAAATACCCAATCCCAGTATCAGTTCAGTGTTCCTGTGGTTGCCTGGTATCATTATGTACCAACTCCTTCTCTTGAGCAAGCTATTCCCAGTTCCCCAAAATCTGGGATAACTGTTGGGCCATTTTATCTATGCTAAGGGTCATGGACCTGTGACCATGTGCCTGGGATAGACCACAATGAGAATGCAACACTCAGGGCAGACTGCAAGAAATAGGACAGACAGTCCCCCAAAACTGGTGGTTTATTCTATAATCAAATTCACCAAACCAGTAACAAAAGAGCTTCTGCCAGTACCACACTGGTTAACCAGAAGCCAAACACAGTCCCCGTTAGGCATTCCAGCACTTGGCTCCCATCCAGACAAGCCAATCTAATATAGTGAGAGGTTATCGAAAACTCATTTTATCATATGTGAGGTTCTTTCTAATCCCAAAGGATCAGACACATACCCCAAGTCAATATGTATCTCAGATCTTGCCCAAATATCACGCTGTCAGTCAATCCTTAGTAAACTAACTAAAGATTTAATAATAATAAAAAAGAGAATGATAAATGGTTAATAGATCATATGCATACAAATGATTGCAAAGTCCTTATGTCAGGGCTGTAGCAGTGAATGAATAGACTGTTTGCTTGTAAAGTCTGGTAACTTCCAAAAGATTGGAAGATCCTCAGTCTGTAGTTCAAGATGCTCCTTTTTGTTGTAAATCCACAGTCCAGCGAATTAGAGTAGGAAAGAAGCAAAATGGAGGTGTCTCAGAGGTCTTTTATATCCTTTGCCATGTTCATGGAAATTTACTGTCCCAAACAAAGCCCAAAGTCCAGGTGCATGGAAAATTATCGGCCCAAGATGGAGTCCAGGGTCACATGTCCTTATCACAAGTCCTTACATGCTTTACTGACTCACAAGGGCAGACATTGCCTGTATTCTTTCTGAGGTGTCCACAAGAAAAGCTTACTGGATGGCATGAATTTCTTCAATGGCCCATTGTGAGCTGAGTGTCCTTAATGGGCCATCAACACATAGCTGTCTAGTCTAGCTGTCTGATGCAAATCTATCTGCGGGGTGTCACCCAGAAATACAACACATGTGTAAGATACAAGTACTCACTCATATTCAGAACTTCAGCTACACAGATGATACATGAATATAAACAAGATAATCATACTTAGCAATTCATAACTTTTCTATTGGTATCTTACATGACATACTTTGTACAAGACTTATGGAAATTCTGAAATAGTGGTAACAGTGATATAAATGGTCACCTTTCTTATACACAGAATCACAAGACCTACTTTACTTATGCTAACTTGCTTAAGCCAGTGTCTTATAGAATACAGGCCTGTAGGTTTCTTGTGTTACTGCTGAGTAAAATAAAAAGCTAAGCTAGCTCTATGGGCTACACAGTAGGATGGTGTCTTCTGTTTAGAGTCACAATCTGCCCTCCATTTCCACTACAAATTTTTATATATATATGCAAATAAAGTGAAACACTACATGAGTTTGGAATGTAAAATTATTTTATACTAAGCAAAATCTCAGTTTTAATACTGTTCAGATAGATAAAAACAATATTGAAATTCCTATAATTAAAACACTATTAAATCTCTTACTAGGACAAAGTTAAAGCTTACTCTGGCTTAACTTAACTGGCTGCTTTTTGTAGTATTATGGGTCCAGCAACTTTGGGGGTTGGCGGTTTGGGGGGATGGGAACATGTTTTTTTTTCTTATTAAACGATGGTAGCATCTGTGACAGTTCTCACAGAATGTTCAGACAAATCTCCTTGAATCATTTAAGAAACAGTTGTAGTCTTCAAGTGATTTTTTTCCACACTGATTCCACTCTTGGTGCTCATGAGCATGTGATTAGATTCTTTTGAATAGCAGTGTCTGTTGCGAGATCCCTTGCAATTACTGTGGCTTAGAGTATGAGAGGCAAGGTGGTCTCAACCACTTCACAGTTCCTTCAGGCTGGACTATGTGGTTTGCAAGTCTCTTCAACATTGGTTTTTTGTTGTTGTTGTTTTTTTTTTTTTGTTGAAGGGGGGTGTAATTTCCCTGGTGGAAACAAGGCATTGATAGTTTTCCTCCCAACCTCCATATCTAGGACCCAATGCCCCCCACTTCTCCCTCTGTACACAAGACCAACCTGGTTGAAGGCAAAGCTCCAGGAGTCAAGATCTGTTCCTTCTGAGCCTTGGCAATGTCCATCATTAATGGTCATGTTAGATGCCTCCTTTGATTAGGTGAGGGGTGTATGCCTAAGCATTGCTCGGAGTGCAAGGCTTTTTCAAAGTATGTGCAAAAATCCAAAGAGGGCAGACTGAAGTTGAATCTTTTGGAGACTTCAGTGTGTTATCCAACCCAGGCAAGCCAGCTAAGAGGCCACCTCCCGCCAGTCAATCTCTTTTCTCAAGTGTTCCTGTAAACTGCTGTGCCAACCTGAGCTCTGGGGACACTCTCTTGTATCCTGTTCCTTTCCTGCTTCAACATTGGTGTGAGACAAAGTCCACAAGGACACTCATACCACGGACTAGGGAAAACTTAGATCTCCCTTGCCATGCGGAAATGGTCCTATCTAAGCCTTGCACATATTGGCCCCCTTGGAGTCATTCCATATGGCAGAAAGCCAACTGCCCAGACAGTTTCAAATCATCTCTGAGGCAGCATGTACAATAACTCTAGTACAGACTCCCCAACTGTCCGTAGCAAAGGAAAAGGAAAAGTTCAGCAGGGAGGAACTCTCCTCAGAGCACCAGCAACTATTGGCCATATCTTCGTTGCCTCCAGATGAAGCAATCAACCTCTCCATCCATTTCCCTCCATAGGTGAGCTCAGGATCTTTCAGGACCTGATGAGGCATCTGGCAGGTGCTCTTGACTCCTCAAAAACATCCAGGAGAAGCAGCACAAGCTCTCAGGCATTCTTTAGCCCTCCGAGTCGGGCAATTGCCCATTAATGAAAGGATAAATCGTTTCTAGAGCCTACTGAGATCATTTGGCTCACTGTCACCTGCTAGCAAGTGGACAGAAAGTATCGGATAACAACAAAGGGGTTTTAGGGTATTCTTTCCAACATCCCACTCTGGGATCTTTGATCATCCAAGTTGCACAAGAACAGTCTAAATCAGAGGTGGGCAACTATGGCCTGCGGGCCCCATCCGGACTGCGGGACCATCCTGCCTGGCCCCTGAGCTCCTGGCCGGGCAGCACGGCAGCGTGACTGGCTTTGGCATGATAAGGGGGCGGGGAGTGGGAGTTCCAGGGGGCAGTCAAGGGACAGGGAGCAGGGGGCTGTTGGATGGGGCAGCGGTTCTGGGGGGGGCAGTCAGGGAATGAGGAACAAGGGGCTGGATAAGTGTGGGACTCCTGAGGGGCCTGTCAGGGGGCGGGGCAGTAAGGGGACAAGGAGCAGGGAGGTTGGATAGGGGGTCCCGGGAGGGGGCAGTCAGGGGACAAGGAGCAGGGGGGGTTGGATGGGTCATCGGTTCTGAGGGGGCAGTCGGGGGTGGGAAGTGGGAGGGGGGGATAGGGGGTGGGGGTCAGACTGTTTGGGGAAACACAGCCTTCCGTACCCAGCCCTCCATATAGTTTTGCAACTCCAATGTGGCCCTCGAGCCAAAAGGTTTGCCCACCCCAGTCTAAAGAGCAGATCAGAGGAACTCTGAGAGAAAAGGATCCAAACAAACTGGATCTCCGCAGATGCAAAGTGTATTTATCAGTGAATTTACAAAGTAGAGTTGTGAGCTACCAGGTGCTCCTCTCTAAATACAATTCTCTCTTTTTGGGACTGATTCTGTTAATTGATGGATACGCTTCCCAACAAATATCAGGAAAAACTAACATCTACCTTGGCTGAAGGGTGGCTCATTGTGAGAACAGCATGCCAGGCTGCACTGGATATGTAAGACACAGTACCAAGAACTATGGTGTCCATGGTCACACAATAAGACACTCCTCCTGTCTGCAGATGTCAAGCATTCCCCGAGAAGTCCAAGTGACCACTGAATATCTTCCATTTCAATGGAAAGACATGTTCAGCACTGGTACCAACAAGGCTTTGCACTCATTAAAAAAACAGATAGAGCCCAGGCACAAACAGCATTAGAAACTGAGGCCTCAGTCCTCATTCTGCTACAGATCCCAGCAACAGTTCCCACTGTGTTCATCAGAACCACTGAGGAAAGGCCTACAGTTCCACCAGTGGTGCTCATCAACCTCACTCTGGCTGTCCCCACAGCAGGGACAAGTGTGAAGGAAGTAGCTTTGACAGGACAGTCAAGAGCCCACCTGGACCATCTCTGAATCAATCCACTTTTCTGTTTGACAACCACCTTTATTATTTTAAATAAGCTTGGGCTGGGATCACCTCTGACGGGTCCTTGAGACCATAAGGAAGGTTTGGGGCTGTTCTAATTCCCTTCCCACTGCTCTTCAGGTACCCTTCTCACAGGATACTTCTACAACAAGAAGTAAACTCCCTGCTACAGTTGGGAGTGATAGAGGAGGTTCCTCAAATTCAGAGCGGGGCTTCTACTCCCATTACTACTTGATCCCAAAGAAGATCAGGGTGGTCATCCTAGCTTTCATCATTCCTGTATTTGATCCCATGAACTGGTTCATGGCTTTCAACCTACACAATGCTTGCTTCCATATCTCAATACTCCCAGCATACAGAAAATTAATGGTGTTTATAATAGAAACATCCTATTATCAGTACAGGGTCCTATCCTTTGGTTTGTCCATAGCCACAAGATTTTACTAAGTCCTCGCTGTAGTGGTGACAGTATATTTAAGGAGACAAGAAGTCCTGGTGTATTTGTATTTGGATAATTTGGCTGACACGAGGCTCTTCTCCACAAGTCAGAAACTCTAGGCAGAACACCTTAAACCACTTCGCCTCCCTCTGCCTCATGATTAGGGCTCTGTGTTTGTCATGGAGGTCGTGAAAGTCACGGATTCCATGACTTTCCGTGACCTTTATGACTTCGCAGCAGCCAGTTTTGCTGACCCAAGGGCCACCCAAGCAGCTGGCTCCAGAGACAGCAGCTCAGGTGGTCCCGGAGACAGCCATACTGGCCGCTGCTGGAGCAGCTCTGCAGCCAGCCAGTGGGGCGGCCCTGCAGCCAGTCATACCAGCCGCTGCTCAGGCAGTCCCTGGGGCCAGCCACACTGGCTGTTGCTCAGGCAGCCCATGACTTCTACTAAAAATACCTCTGGCTAAATTATAGCCTTACTCATCATCAACAAGGATAAAGCAACACTGACTCTGAGACAGAGCATAAAATTTATAGGAACAGTGTTACGATTTTGCCAACTTGGAATCTATCTGCCACAATGGACACTGCTATTCAAAAGAATTTGATTTTGTGAGCATGTGGGCGCATGCACACCAAGAATGTAATCTGTGTTGACATCTTAAAGTACTACAGTTCCTGTAGGATATATAACCCGTTCTCTGCATTACAGTATTTCTCTATGCTGAAGATTATTTTACAAGCATTTAAAACAAATTGGAATAATTATGCAGATACTTAACTTTTATACCACTTCTGTGTTGTGTTTTTTTTTCTTTTGAAGCTTGAAGTTCAGGCCCCTCCAGGTACACCAGTTGGCTACATAAAACAAAACTGGCATCCCTGTCTGCCTAAATTTACTATTCAAAATGAAGCAAAAATTGATGTATTTAAAATCATTGGCCCATGCGTTGTATGCAGCTGTTGTGAGGATATTAATTTTGAGGTAGGTAACATTGTTTAAAGTGTTTGTATTCCTCTCTTCTATTTTTAATTGGTTGGTTTTCCTAATAGTTTAATATCTCTAACTGGTCTTATTGTTACTAATGGACCATTTCCCACAAAACTAAGTTGTAATGCATTCAGTAATAACATTTGGTGTTTAGATAGTCCAACTGTTTGCATATGAAAATCTTTGAAAACAGTTATCTTAGTAAATAACCCAGGTTTCAAACATTGTCATGATAAATCAACTTTCAGATTACCAGACCATGAGATATTGAATGTTTAGATAATATTTCATCCTTTTTTTCCCTTTCTTCCTGTTGGAGTGAAGCTTTTAGCGCCAATTAGAGTGTACCTTGCATATATTGCAGTTGTTTTACTGTGGTGGTGTTGAAATCTCTTTAATGTTTATCGAATTAACAGTGGAAAATATCATTATCTTACTTTAGGTAGTAAAAATAGATTCAGTATACACTTTTGAATAGATTCAATACATAATTTTCCCTTAGTACTGTATTTTTAAGTATATTAATTAAATGACAACTTTCTAGAGCCACTGACTTAATTGTTCAGTACTTGATGTAAATGATCAAAATGGATCAGCATGAGTGGATCATGTAATTTTATTATACATTATTTAATTCTGTAATTAATTAATTCTTAAACTAATGAAGAGTTAATGAATTCTATTTTCATATTCCAGATACTAGTTTATTCTAAAACAATGTATAGTAATCATAAGCAAGGGTTTGCAAGATCATTCTAAGCAGGCTTAGTAGCCACTATGTTCTTCAGAATAGCCATTTTACATGGCTTTGAACACTGAAACCAGTTTTCAAAAGACATAATGTTGACATATGTCTTCTCCCCTACTTTGGAAAATTATCATGTAATCTTTTAATATCCACGTAGACACCTGTCACTGGGTGAAGGAACCTTGATTTACAGCACTTCTAACAGTGTTGCCCTGCAACCTTCTCCATTACTGTGCTGTACTGTGTAGTTAGCACTGATATGAGCCCAAGTTCTAGCCTAAGATTTGCGCCCATGATTTACTGATGTAGAGTTGAGATTACCACAGTATTGAATACCACATGCTGTAGTACATATAACAATCAATATAAATGTGAATATCCTGAAGTTTTTGAATGAGCATTTAAAATGATCACACAAAATCTTTTTAATTATGAGTGGCAGACTTTCTTTGTTTTTATTTCAAACTAGGTGAAGTCGATGGATGAAAGTTCTGTAGTTGGAAGAATTTCTAAGCAGTGGAGTGGATTTGTGAGAGAGGCATTTACAGATGCTGATAATTTTGGAATCCAGTTTCCACTGGATCTTGATGTTAAGATGAAAGCTGTCATGATTGGTGCCTGCTTCCTCATTGTAAGTCTGCCAATCCACTAACTTTAAACAATGAATATATGCTCATTTCTGTTCATCTATATGTTAAAATTGTACTGGGATATGACTTGATCCTGGGCTTATTGAAGTTAACAACAAAGCTCCCAGTGACTTTGAGGGTGCAGGATCAGGTTCCTAGGAGGCATGACAAATGAATTATTTCAGATAATGGAATTACATTTGGTGCAATTGGAAGTATAAAATTACATTTAGGAATACACTTATTTATTGCTGATATGCCCGCTCTTGTAAAGTTTCACACCATTTCTATGCCATAAGGAACCAGTTATCACTGCATGGCTTCTTTGAAGCTGCTGTAGGAGCCATTCCATTAATTAGCTGACATTTACTAAACAAAGAGCAGAGCAACTTGTCCCTTCCCTTGAAGACTACTGTAACCATGACACGTCTGGTTTCTGCTAGATGTTTACTGTCAAGCTTGAGTTTTCTGAAAATGGGGAAGAAAACTAGAAGGAAGGAGAGAGGCATATGCATCAGCTCAGGGATGGAAATGTCAACAATCCACCTTGCTCTGTAGCAGCAATCTTTATCAGACCATTATTGATTAACCAGAGCCTTTTCTTACTTGGCTATGTTGTTTTGTGTGACTTTGTCATGCAGATAAAAATACGGGAAACAGCCCTGCTTAGAGACAACAGTTTGGCAAAGCACGCAAGCATGTATTTTAAGTCCCATTGATTTTAATGGAACTTAATCAAATGATTGGTACAGGGATGGAATTAATCATATGCTTATGTGTTTTGCTGAATGGGCCCAAAATGCACAAGGCACTATAAAGCACAAATAAATTGTTTGCGTGTGTGTGCTGTGTCTTTTTGTTGGGTTTTTGTTTTGCATGTGTGTAGCCAGTCGATTTCTCTGATTGTGGGTGGGCAAAAAAAAAAAAAAGGGTTGGTGGAAGTTAAAGAATGGGAATCAATGTTTAAATTCCAGGCCATGTCAAAGAACGAGGTTTCAGATTTCTGTGAAGTGAGGGAAAGTTAAGGAAGTGCCCACTCCAATACCTCATCCACATGCTTCTTAGAGTTGTTGCTCAGCTATTGTTTAGCTACTAAATTCCCCTCCAACACAGACACTGACCTTCCCCCCCTCCAATAAAAAAAGCTGTTTTTCTTCATTGTGGGCACTTTAGTTTGCGGGCAAAATGACAGCTGTGATGTCCTGTCCCTGTAGTTCCTCCAATTTTCTCTATCTCCTCAGTGACAGGCAAGATTAACTAGATTTCCTTCCTGGAGAAAATGGCAACAACATTTTATTTCAAATTTCTGCTTAACAATTCAGTTTAATTCCAAGCTATGTCCTAGGACTGTTCTATCTTTTGGTGAATTTTCCCCCTCAGCTTCACTTCCCCTTCTGAGATGCTACATTGATTGGTGCACCTGCAGGCTCCAGAGAGAAAACTAGACCAAGGAATCTTAAAGGCGAAAAAGAAAAAAGTCAGTCTGGTGCTTTAACCCACAGTCTCTTCTCTCCCAGTGCCTCCTTTATCAAGTTTCTCTTTGGGAAGTTTAGCCACATCTGTGACCAGAAGTGAATTTTCCCCTTAGCCCCATTATATGTGGAGTCACAGTGCAACTTACCTGGGCAGGAGAGGAGCCAGGAAGGATTAGGGAACCTGGTTATGCTGGACATAATGAAGGCACTGGTCTCAGCTGCCCACTCTGGCTGAAGACCCCTCTGCTTCTATCCCCCAGGCTAAAGAGAGAGGCAAGATTGAAAAAGCTGACAAAGGTACAAAAACGCTCAGGCCTGTGGATACCCAGAGTAGTACTTTAGAGCTGCAGCTGCCCCTCCCTTCTGCTTTAGAACTCAGTGTATCAGGGGTTGGACAAATCAACAGGCCCAAGACAAATAAAAGGGATGATCTCTAGAACTTGCACCAGCAGCCACACCCCTGTCTGTGGAGGTCAGCCACTTTCTCCCGCTCCACCTCTCCTTGGACCACAGATGGAGGGCTTTGTACACAACATAGATGCTGCTGATGCTGGATTGTGGTAAGGGGACTTCAAGCCTAGACCACTTCCCACGCTACCAGCTCTGTAACAAGCCTCCGAAGATTTTCCAATGGATATCCTAAGCTGGCACCTCCAAGAGAAATGCAGACTCTTCTGATCGCTTTGCAGAAGAGAAGTGTGAAATTTCTGACTTCTGGGAAATCTGTTCTCAAATCTCACTCCCTCCGGAGAGGCTGAGAAAGTGCCCCAGTGCTCGAAGGCTGACAGTGTCTCCCTTTGATGGTAGGGAGAGCCCTAATCATCTGAAATGTTTTTGGGACAATCTGAAATCTTTCTTAGCACAACTTCACTCTTCCTTCTGAAGCAGAATCGTAGGAACAATCTTCCAAAGGGGAAATAAATAAAATCTACATCTGGTACCCCTGCTTACCTTAGGAGTACAGAATGGCAGATTAAACCCAATAAAGACCAAGCCGCAGACCTGAGCAGATTCCTCTATACACACTAAAAATGATCAAAGTAATAAAACATATATGTTAAATAATCCTAACAGTCTTTGAGGAACAGTGCTGTGAAACTGTGCTCAGGAGGTCTGTGGCTACTCTAAACAAATGATAGCTGTATCTTTCTTCTTGTACTTATTGGGACGATATCATAAGAATGTGAGAAGTGCTTTCAGCCACACCTAGAAGTTTAGGAAAGTGCTGAGCTGTCATTCCCAACTGTCACTGAGTTACAATACCCTACCACAGCTGCCATTTCCGCTTCCCCTGCGGCTGATGGTGGAGTGACAAAAGAAAGAACAGTCCAGATGTGAACAAACAAACGGTTGGCCCACCGTTAACTTATTTCTAGCCTCCCTGGCCTCAACTTTAAGGCCATAGAGTTGCTCAGGCAGTCATACAAGCCTAGACCAATAGCGCAACAGTTTTACAACCAACAATCTTATGAACTAACGTGTAAAAAGCAAAAGGTTCAGAAGTCCCATCTCCCTAGACCTTCTGTGGCAACAACATCGGTCCCATGCCAGCCTCCATTGAAATGATATTTTTGATGGGAGTTCGAGAGCTGCAAACCAGTGATGCCAACACCTGCCGATTCCCCCACACTCTGCGGGAATTTTCTAGGACTCTTTCCACATCTGGATTGCAAAAACAACAGGCAAGTGGGGGTACTAAACATTATTCATTCTGGCTATACTATCGAATTTACCTCCCTGCCTCCTCCAAACACCCCATCCCCACCCCTTTTCAGGGGCCATTTTCATAATCATAGAATCATAGAATATAAGGGTTGGAAGGGACCCCAGAAGGTCATCTAGTCCAACCCCCTGCTCGAAGCAGGACCAAATCCCAGTTAAATCATCCCAGCCAGGGCTTTGTCAAGCCTGACCTTAAAAACCTCTAAGGAAGGAGATTCTACCACCTCCCTAGGTAACGCATTCCAGTGTTTCACCACCCTCTTAGTGAAAAAGTTTTTCCTAATATCCAATCTAAACCTCCCCCACTGCAACTTGAGACCATTACTCCTCGTTCTGTCATCTGCTACCATTGAGAACAGTCTAGAGCCATCCTCTTTGGAACCCCCTTTCAGGTAGTTGAAAGCAGCTATCAAATCCCCCCCTCATTCTTCTCTTCTGCAGGCTAAACAATCCCAACTCCCTCAGGCTCTCCTCATAAGTCATGTGTTCCAGACCCCTAATCATTTTTGTTGCCCTTCGCTGGACTCTCTCCAATTTATCCAATTTAAGGAGATTCTCAAACAAGAAGTAGAATCCCTCTTGCAAGCGTGGCTTCAAACTGTACTCACCAAACAAACAGTCCATGAATGCCATATAACTGCGTCCACCAAGGTTTTTTTTTCATAGGTATTTAGGTCAGAAGGGACCATTATGATCATCTAATCTGACCTCCTGCACAACGCAGGCCGCAGAATTTCATCCACCACTCCTGCAAAAAACCTCTCACCTATGTCTGTGCTATTGAAGTCCTCAAATCGTGGTTTAAAGACTTCAAGGAGCAGCGAATCCTCCAGCAAGTGACCCATGCCCCATGCTACAGAGGAAGGCGAAAAACCTCCAGGGCCTCTTCCAATTTGCCCTGGAGGAAAATTCCTTCCCGACCCCAAATATGGCGATCAGCTAAGCCCTGAGCATATGGGCAAGATTCACCAGCCAGATACTACAGAAAATTCTTTCCTGGGTAACTCGGATCCCACCTCATCTAATATCCCATCACAGGCCATTGGGCCTATTTACCATGAATATTTAATTACCAAAACCATGTTATCCCATCATACCATCTCCTCCACAAACTTATTGAGTTTAATCTTAAAGCCAGATAGATCTTTCGTCCCCACTGCTTCCCTTGGAAGGCTGTTCCAAAACTTCCATCCTCTGATGGTTAGAAACCTTCGTCTAATTTTAAGTCTAAACTTCCCAATGACCAGTTTATATCCATTTGTTCTTGTGTCCACATTGGTACTGAGCTTAAATAATTCCCCTCCCTCTCCGGTATTTATCCCTCTGATATTTTTATAGAGAGCAATCATATCTCCCCTCAACCTTCTTTTAGTTAGGCTAAACAAGCCAAGCTCCTTGAGTCTCCTTTCATAAGACAAGTTTTCCATTCCTCGGATCATCCTAGTAGCCCTTCTCTTTACCTGTTCCAGTTTCAATTTGTCCTTCTTAAACATGGGAGACCAGAACTGCACACAGTATTCCAGGTGAGGTCTCATCAGTGCCTTGTATAACGGTACTAAAACCTCCGTATCCCTACTGGAAATACCTCTCCTGATGCATCCCAAGACCGCATTAGCTTTTTTCACGTCCATATCACATTGGCAGCTCATAGTCATCCTATGATCAACCAATACTCCAAGGTCCTTCTCCTCCTCCGTTACTTCTAATTGATGCATCCCCAGCTTATAACTAAAATTCTTGTTATTAATCCCTAAATTCATGACCTTACACTTCTCACTATTAAATTTCATCCTATTACTATTACT